CTCCCTTGAGGCATAAATGACCAGGCTCAAATTCTCCTGTGGACACGTTATGTGAAGACCCAGCTCTAATGCTGAGAAAGTGGAAGAAAAGAGAAGAGGCAACCACCAGCAAGTTAGATGGACTCAATTACAGTGGTAATGAGTGCACCATTGGTAGGAGAAATTGTTCATCAAGACAAGTCTTCTGCTGACCTGATTGCCTTTTTATTGTATTGAACAAGAAATCTTATCACTTCCAGTGTTTCTCTTAATTCTTTTTTTTTTAATACCTTTGATTTCTTCACCTTGTTTTGTCACTTCAAAGAACTCCTGTCCATAGAATGGGTTTTGGGTGTGTAAAAGGTCAGTTTGGTGTAGTGAGTAAGGCATGGGGCTAGAAACTAGGAACCCATGAGTTCTAGTCCCATCTTAGGCATGAAGCCAAGTGGGTGACCTTGAGCCAGTCACTCTCTCTCAGACCTAATAAGTAGACAATGGCAAATCATTTCCGAAATATTGCCAAGGAAAATGCAGGGACTTGACCAGGTAGTTGTAAAGAGTCAACATTGATCTGAAGGCAGACAAACAAATGCACAATAAAAACAAAAGCTAGCTGCTGAATGAAGATTTAAAAGTTCCTGAGCTTGCTACACTGCTTCAGTAACAACACCCAGGCTAGTTTAAATAAAAAGAAATATTATTATACCATTCAATTACAAATAATATAAACCTCACTGCCATGAGGGTGAGGCAGCAAATATTGTCTAATAAAATTGCTATATTTCTTTGATATCTTCAAAGTGTAATCATTTCCCCATCTTTTTTTAATTATTTTGATTTCTTTTAATTGTTATATTTAACAACTACAATATATAGAATTTGACAAGCATTAGAAATTTATAGGATAAGGTACTACATTATTATTATTGTTATTATTATTATTATTATTTACATAATAACTCAGATTATAATATAGTCATATTGAGAACAGAAACACTAAAATCAGTGGAATTTATTTATGCTCTTCTTGTTCCATTTCTTTAAGTAGATTCAGTTTAAGCAGGATGGTCAAGCATATGTTGCCATATTAAATAGATTATCATGGATTATATAACCTTTATCATACTTTATTATAGCAAGAGCACTAAGAGTAGACTTATATACCACTTCACAGTGCTTTACAACCCTCTCTAAGCAGTTTATAGAATCAACATATTGCCCCCAACAATCTGGGTCCTCATTTTACTGACCTCAGAAGGATGGAAGGCTGAGTCAATCTTGAACCGGTGAGAATAGAATTGCTGGAAGCCAGCAGTCAGCAGACATAGCCTGCAGTACTGCATTCTAATCACTGTGCCACCATGGCTCTTATGCATGCATATTAACTCTCTCTCATACACATACATGCTAGCAATGTGTTACCAGTAAAGGGTCTTGAAACGGCTTGTTAGGCCATAGGCCACATACTTGATGCTCCGTTACTTGAGATGGCAACATCTTCAATAGCCTTCATCTGGGTTACTGGGATTCATTACACCAGTGGTGGTATTGTAGTGGTTCGGCCCGGTTCTACTGAACCGGTAGCTCTGAGAATCATCTGTGAGTGAACTGGTTTGCTCTGACGATCAGCTGCTTGGCTCAACCACCCGTCCCGGCTCTATTCTGACCTTTATTTCCTGGTTTTGAAGCTTAGCTGCTTCACGCGACACAGCGGATTGCCGTACATCAGCTGTTGAAGACACAAGGAAAGTGCAGGATCGCAGCAGGAGGTCAGTAGCAAATCCTCTGCCTGCGTGCGTGCCTGCGTGCGCAAAGCACACCCACCAAGCCACTCCCACAGAATCAGTGGTAAAAAATTTGAATCCCACCACTGCATTACACCATACTTTTCCAGACTATGAAGCCACATCTAAAAATGACCAAGAAACCTTCATGGTAACGAGAAATTGTTCCCAGAGAAAGTAAACCACATGGGAAAGCATGTGATGTTATATTTACTAACTTCCATGGAATGAATTTAAAGTCAATTAGGGATAGCAGTGTGAAGCAAGCTTTGTTGAAAAAGCAAGTAATTCATCTAACAACCAGTGAAAAATCTGTGGATCCATTTTATTTTTACAAAACACATCCATGAGTATCACTCAGGAATCCAGGTTTTATAGAGGATCATATAAACTGCCTTCCCCCAGGTTTCTACATAAGGAGATGTAAATAAAAAAGGGGGGGGGGAGAATGCAGTCATCAGGAAAAGCCAAGAAATTGGAGAATTTTCTGCAGCCTTTGGTGTTCAATTTGCCAATTTAGGATGGTTGAGGCTTGAAATTATTAATGCTTATACTCATATATTAATGATTGGTTATCTTCCATTCATAAGCTGAGATCACCGAAACAACAATCCATTGTCTTTTGGCCATTGTCTTTTCTTCTGTTGTGGTCATTTAAAAAAATATTTAATACTTAAAACAAATATATTTACATTGGCCAATTTTTTTAATGATAAATTGGGATATATGTAGCCTTGAGGATTCGACTATCACCACCTTTACTTTTCAGGTCCTATGACTCAAACTAAAACAGCAAGAAGTTTTTTTCAAGATATCAGTGAGCCCTATGACAACATGTTTTTTTAAACTTTGTTTTAGTGAAATATGGAATAGCCAAATTCTGATGGAAGCAAATGAGTGGGTGAGTTGGAAGTTTTGCTCCAAGATCAAACTTTTTATTTCTTGAAGACCCCTAATTCTTGATTAAAATGTCTGTTAATAGATTTTATGCGAGTCGAGGATACATGAAAACTACTTGCCTAAATAGCAATAGCACTTATACCACCCAGTGTTTTACAGCCCTCTCTGAGCAATTTACAATGGCAGCATATTGCCCCAACTATCTGGGTCCTCATTTTACCATCCTCGGAAGGATGGAAAGCTGAATGTACCTTGAGCCCCTCAGGATCAAACTCCAGGCTGTGGGCCGAGTTTGCCTGCAATGCTACACTTTAACCAGTGTGCTCCCAGGGCTCCTAAAATTCTATGCTCGCTTACAATTAATCTAAGCATACTTTTAAGACCTATTTTATCCAAAACCACCACCCTCTTCAGTGTAGGTTGGGCAGAGCTTCTAGGATTGGGTGTCTATTTGAACTTTAGTTTCTCCAGTCCTGCTCCAACAACCACTACACCATTCTAAGTTCTCACTGTCTAAAGAACTGGAGCACACATTTGCCTGAAATACTCTTATACACCAAGCAGGAATATCTTGTACTGCAACTCCCACAGTCGATGCGCCTTGTCACAGATTTATTAGTTGTGAATAGTTATTAATAACAACGGCTGCTTTCATTTTGTGCAGTTTGTAGTTCAGATACCATGTTGGAGAATGCATGCTTGTTATTACTTTATTTATTCATCTTCATTAGGGGTTACAAATTATAAGCAATCTGAAAAAAATCAAATAAAGTCACCGTGGAACCTTATAATACATTAAAAAAAACTGATTTTATTGAATGAAACATCCAGTAAAATATATCATTCAGTTACAGCATTATCATACATAACATCACCTGGGTCTTGTACAGAGTACACCCAATGTACATACTGGCTTGCTGTACACACAAGTAGACACAAATAAATAAACATTGACTGATTTGATACACACACAGATATTGTTTCCTATCTTCAAAGTCACTCCTTATAGAAACATTTGAGGATAATTGCATGCATTCCCCAAATTTAGATTACCCAAAATAAATTTGCTTGATTCTGCACCATAGTTAAATATGTGTCACCAAGCTACCCTAAAAGGAGTGCAATATATCTAATTGATGGTAAAGGCCCAAAGTGGTAAAATAAGGGTAACCTTGAGGAATTGGAAACTGCTCCCAAAGCTCTGTAGAAACATTAGCTGGGACTTTCATCTAATCTCCAAATATGTAGTGTTCCAGTTTCTTAGATCTATGCAAAGATCTCAATACCTTCCATGTATCACCCTTTGGAAGTCAATTTTGGGGATTTTGATAGTCATAGATGTTTGGGGAACAACAAAGCTGTGTTTGGGTTTTGCACTTATCTAATTTCAGAAGTGCAATCGCTTCTTTGACAAATAAATCAAATTAAAGTAAGCAGACCTGACTGACACTGAAATGCCCCTTTATCCATTATCAGTTACAGAACAGACTAGATGACAAAGGTAACTTATGGAGAGAGAAATCAGAAATGTTTACTTCAGATCTCATAATTACCAACTCAGTATGAGATCTGAGGAGGACCAGGATGGAGGACGATTACATTACAGACACAACTAGACAGATAAAAAAAAACCTCTTAATATGGCCATTGCTGTAGCTTTATCCTTTTATGAAGACTACTAGAAAAAAGTATATAGATAATTCAATAATTCAAAACTGCCTGTTTCTTTGCTGTGCAAGAACATATAAATAGGCTACAGTTTATTCTAGAGGGGGAGAAAATGTAAAAGATAATTGTATGCAGGCAATTTTAACATGTATACCCAGACAAGGCCATCAGCCACAATGCCAATGTTATAGGTTATAATTAGTGATAATGTCTGATGTAGCCTTTTTTCATTAAAATCCTGACTGGAAAAAGTGTTAATTCTTTAGAAGTCAAGAAGTAGTACTATTCCCACAAGAAGAATGCTTCATGTAGTGTTCAGTCCGAATAAAAAGTTTTATAGAACCATAAATTACAAAGTCATATTAAGGCATCTATTGAGAAATAAGTGAAACAAAATCATTTCATTTAGTGGTTGTGACTAATACAACTAATAATCAACCATGAACACCCAGGGACTAGCAGAATGCTATCAAAAGAATATTATGCGACAATGAGCTTTTCAAATAATGGAAAATCTACAAATCAATAAATGTTAAAATCCTGCATTTTCTATGGAGGTTATACTTAAGAACATCTACCAAATTGGTCTTAATGGCACTTGCTATTTGAAAAGTGGGATAATCCCAAAGTTAAAAAGCCAGTATCAAATTCAATAATGCTTCATTAAGTTCCCTTTTTTTTGTATTTTCTGCATCCATTCTTTCTGTTTCAGTGCTAATGTTCACATACAGAAATGTTCACATCATCACTTATAACAGTTCAAGATAAGATTATAAGACTGCAAGACAAGCATAACATTATCAATTCTACTGTTTGTAATAATTATAAAATCAAAATATCCATTTATTTTTTTAAAAAGTTAGAAATGTGTCATTACCACATTTTATTATATTTTCTCTTGACTAATCTGGCTATCTGGCAAAGATTCTAGTTAATCATGGTAAAAACTTGCAATACCACTAACCTGTAGGTTTCTGCCCATGTCTCAGTGCTCTGTGTTCACTGGCAAAATTTAAAGCAGTTTTAATTTACATTTCACCATTATGTTGCCAAGACCAGAATATTGAATATTTGTCTATTTTCTAACATGCTTTACTACTGGTATACAGTATAGGGAGAGAAATATAAACCCCAAGTATATCCCAGAGTTAATGAGACATCTGTAGTTTCAGAAGAATGAGAAAAGGGTTAGGAAGCTAACTCACAATTCATTTAATTATTTAATCAACCATATAACAATGCATAAAAGGTAGATAAATCATTACAATGATATTTAAAACCAGACTACAAAACATTTCCAAAATATTTCATAAACCCTACATGTTAAATAAATATTTGGGTGCCATATCTGAAGAGTGATAATTCCTCGCTCTCTTCTTTATCCTGTGTGGCTTATTCAAGAACGAAGTTAAAGATACAACCTAATCATGATTATTGGAAGAGATAAACAATGGTATGCATCTCATCTTCCTTTTTAAAAGCCATAACCTGACAGAAATATGCCCTACTCAATATAGGGAACAAAAATTTGCTTCCTGGTAAATTGCATTTTAATTATAATTTAAGAGTTACAGTCAAATTCAGATCTCTTGGCTAATTAAATAAAAATGGAAGAAACCACATGGCAAGCCACACATATGATCATTTTAGAAAACTGAAATGGTAGTATCAAAAACTTAATAATGCAATGAAACAGCTAAAATCTTCGGAAGAAAATTCTGAAAATAACCTTTGTGTAAACTATTTAATTTCAACACTGTTTCTGAGAACAGTATTCCTGAGAACAAAGGCAAATAACAGAAAATAGGATGTGTATTGCACTTTTAATATAAGAATCTCCATGTGCCTGCTCAATCAATTTATTTATCTGTTTTGATTGGCTAGCCTTTCAGGGCCTCTTATATGTGAAATAAGAAAACCGTGAAAGTTGGGCCCATGAATTTAACCTATGTACACATGCTAATTGGCTATGATTGCTAAGTAGGTCTCAAAGTGTTTCCATAATACAGAAGGAAAATAATTCAGAAGTTACAACTATGCATCTGACTCACTTTTTGCTTCATAGTGTATCTACATATATACTCATGTGAAATTATTGTTTACATGAACTTGGATTATAATTATGACATTCAAGGCATTTTTCGAAATGTACGCTTGCGAATGTTCCTTGAAGCTACAACAAAGCAAAAGCTTACAACAGAGAATTGGTTTATAATATCCTGTTGTTTACACAACTATAAAAAAAATCTTTAAAAACACTTTTCAATCTCCTGTCCAGCTCACATGCATATCTTTTTTTCACAGCAATTTGATATGAACCCTGCTATAGAGTCAAACTGGCAGAGTGCTGGACTTAGCAATATAAAACTTATTTCCCTTTTTATATGCAGTCCAATTGGTGTTGCCTGGGAATTATAAATTATATAGCTTGATGCTGTTTTTAAGTTTCAGTATTATTATCAATAGACACAGAACTTCATGAGATAGGAGCATGGACTTACAGCATCCATTTTTAATATTATACATCAAGTTTCATTTCCACTTCCTTCTTCTGTGTTAGCTACTACTCCCAAGCTCTATTTCACTTTACATGCAACTATCCAAAAGGAGGAATTTACTTTAGAAATGAGACATATCATTTCTAAATTGATAGCCTAGAATAGTTTAAAAACAAGAACAATGAAAATAAAAATGAACTATAACATGATGCTCAAAAGGCTTCATAAAAATCATCTGGTGAGGAGTATTAGCACTCCTAATTCTCCCAACTTTGACTACTCTTGATCCAGAAGTCTAGTAAAATCCAAGATGCTTGCAAGACATTCAGTTTCTTCCAGATAGGGATAATCATAAAAGAGCACCTATTTTTTTTTTATATGTCTCCTAAATCAACCCCATACAAAAAAAGAAGCATAAATAAATAAGAGACCTAAAAAAGAGCCCCTTCCTTTTTAACCATATCCTTACTTGTTGAATCTATAAAATAAATAGATTTGGAAAGCGAGGAGGAGCCCCAAGTTCCTGCAGTTGCTATGAAGAAACTCAAGGTCCATCCGAATGGCAGATAACTTTTCAAAGTGAAAACAGGTTACAGTGTCATGGTAAAGCAACAGTGGCATTGGACACAGTTGGTACAATCAATTCATGGAGGGATTCATATGTCCCCACAACAAAGCCAATAATACCGAAGAGGCTGATGAGAATATCTTTGGCCAGGATGAGCGGGTGCAGGCCTTCCGAATAATAGGTGAAGATCTCCAAGAGGGGTGGAATAATAAGTGCTAGAGCACTGCTACTCACAGAGCCTACCAGAGCTATGACAATGTCCAAGCGAGGAATCAGTATTGCGAGGGCACCTGAAAGATAAGAAAGGAGGAAATAAAAACTTGGTCAAGGAAGATGCCTTACTGAAGAGAAAGCAGCTGAGGTAATTAGTCTTTCTTTTACCACAACTTCAAATGAAATAAACATCGCTTTAATTTGGGAGTATGTTTTTAGTCTGTAATAAACTCTTCTGGTAAAATAGATGGGGACATTAACAGACACACTGAATCATGACAAAATATGCCATCAGGATGTACAAACTCAGAGATGGAATTTGTAAACAACTCAGGATCAATTCTTGAATCTAGCACCAATATTATTTATTACTAATAACTCTACAAAGCTATTTGCATTAGTCAGGGGTCCTCAAATGCTTTGAGGTGATCAATTTCATGCCTTGGGAATTCTGAGACCATGATTTGACTGCCATGTGGGGTGACTCTCTAGTCATGAGGTGGCAACCATATTGGACAAGCCATATCACTATAGCAACCTAAGAGGATTTTTCACACATCTGGGTTTTTTGTGTTTTTTTAGCAACTAAGACACTGCAGATCAACCTTGCAGCTCACTTTTACCCTTTTGGGGTAGAATTAGGGCAGGGTGGGGAATGATGGTACTTTTATGACTTATGGACTTCAATTCCCAGAATTCATGAACCAAACATGCTGGCTCAAGAATTCTGGGAGTTGAAGTCATAAAGGGGCCATGGTTCCCCACCTCTGGTGTAAGGAGTGTATTTTTCATCAAACAAAGGCACTGTACTGCACTCGGCCTACATTTTTATTTTCTGTAGAGCCCAGTAATTTTCTTAAGAATATCTTTACCGCAATAAAGCATCCCATGGGCTAAATCTCTACCTGCCGAGTGAAAAGAAAACTCTCACCACTCACATGTTATGCAGACCAGGAGTACTCTCAGCAGCAGTTTGCAACATAATCTCCAGCGTTCAGGGACCTTGGAAGCAGCCACAGGAATTATTATTTCTGCAGGAACATAGAACTGCAGAGCATAAGTGAAGAAGATTCCGAGGGAGTAGAGCAGCTTGACAGACTGGTACAACCTGTGAAAATGAGGCAAGAGACAGCCATTAAATCTACTCAGCTTCCTGGTGAAAAACCAAACCAAAAATTGAAGGTAGTGTACTGATTACACTCTTTGAGAATGCTTGGGCTCCCTGATCCAGTGATCATTAGGGAAATCTGGCTCACAAGTGAGGAGATAAACTAAAAGCAAGTAAGTCTTCCTTAAGGAAATAAAGTGCTGTTCCTGAATCAGGGCTTTAGGACTTGTAGCTAAGCAACAAGTGAAAGGAATTCCTATGAAAAACTGCCTGTCCCTGTTTTGACAACCACTAAAGTTCTTGTTCAAAATTACTTATGACTTCATGAGTTTTTAAAGGCATGGGTTCCTGTTTAAAACTGAACACTCACTCAGTGATGCAAGAAGTTTTATTTCAAAGCCTTCTTTTTTCAAATAGTGAGACATTTCTGATCTCATCAGAAATCAAAACTCCTTGTATGCCATCACAAGATAGATAAAGCTGATAGCTAGTTGCTAAATGTTGTTGGAAGATATATTGCTAGAGTTGGTGGGGCTGGAGTTTAATAAGGGTCATAGCTGCCCATTCCTGAATTATCAAAATTATTTTACATCTGAGTTTTGAAAATAATACAGCATATTATTAAAATATATATATATATAAAGAATCAACACCTGAATATAAGCTCTCTCCCCTATGGAACTAATTCTGTTTATCTTTAGTGGCCACAAAAAATAAACAAAAATGAAGTAAAATCTAAAATACATTTTTTATCCCACCAACAGCTCTGCAATATTGTTTTTCTTTGATATCTTCTATAGTTTCTCACACTATATATAACTCATACCTCACTACCAAAATTTTGGCACTGGGAATATGTCTTGTCAGTTTTGATGTTATATTTATCTAGGAATTTCTATTAGAAATGGATAAAAATGAAAAATTGATTAAATCATCTGTATACGATAATTTATGAATTGGAGAACCTACTGGTGTGGTTGAAGTAAAAAAGAAGGGAGACTGGAGTACTCACAGTTTCCACCAGAATTAGAGATGGGTGAAAACAAATGAGGAATGGGAGTTACACTAGACAACTTTATTATCATCAATGCCACATTTTCCAAGGAGGTATTCTAAGCCAATACAATGGTGTCCTACATGTGGCAATATGCTTAGTCAGCTAATGTAACTAGTTCTTGGTCCCCAGGATCACGAATGAGAATGTGATAACCCAAGAGTTAACACAATTACAGGGGACAGCTGCTCTGCATTCTCAAATATTTCTGTCGCAGCACTAGTTTTTCTCCTAGTACAAAATGCACTATTTGAAACACAGGATACATGCTTGAATCGGTTCAAAGCATGTCAAATTTAGAACACAGAGAAACATGGTTTGCTAAAAGAGATGGTGGCCATGACGAAAGAATGAAGACATGAGACAGAAAGTGACAGGGAACACACACTAAGAACTTCCCTACAAAGGAAGCACCTTTGCAAATTCTTCTCAGCATCCACCTCTGCAATTCCATTCTTGCTCATTCAGGAGTAGCCTGTATAGTTCAGCTTTCTTTCTCCCTGGTAACAAAAGCTTCCCAGTTCAACTCACCAACAGTTGGGGAGATTGAGTGTGATGCTGGCCTGGATGTTAGCTCCAAAGCGCAAATATCCTAGTGTTCCCAAGCTGAGGTAGAACGTGGTAACAATTGCCATTCCCACATACAGGATAGTGTGAAAGTTCTGGGGGTTCTTCATTTTGTTTTCTAGAGGGAGCACCTTGGAGAAGAAAAAAAAAACCAAATAGTCAATGAATATCATTTTAGTCTCCTAATTAGCCTAACCTCTTCACAAAAGACCAGGGCATGCCATTTGGTCTTCTCAAAAAATCGCTACTTGACTAGAGAAGAAAAGATATACAGTAGATAGGTAGGTAGGTAGGTAGGTAGGTAGGTAGGTAGGTAGGTAGATAGATAGATAGATAGATAGATAGATAGATAGATAGAGTAGTGTAACCCTAATTTCTTTGTTTTTGAGACAAGACTAGTGCAGAGTCTTTCTGCACTAAATTATGATATTTGACTGGATCAGATGTAAGTTTCAAATAGTTATCCACTGGCTTCTTAAAAATCCAAGGAAAGAAGATTCTACCAACACTTTATCTCTTTCCCCTTATTTCCTGGGAGAAAAAAAATCTTCCCTAAAGCTAGTACTACCGTAAAGCAGGGAACTCTCAGGAACTGATTCCCGAAAGCACAACAGGAAAGCAAATTGTTACCCTGTTTCCCCGAAAGTACAACCTACCCTGAAAGTAAGTCCTAGCTTGATTTTTACATGTGTGCCCAATATAAGCCCTATCCCCCAAAATAAGCCCTAATTAAGATCCTGCCCACTCGAGTGCACAGGTAAAATTAAGCTAGGGTGGGGATGAGGGGGTGGAGCTGCCCTACTACCTTTGGACAGTTGTAGCCAGGCCTTCCACAGCACGACACCTGCCTTGCTGGCCCATTTCTTCTGCAGCCAGGAAGGATGGCAAGGCTTTCCTGAAGGCCTCTGTAGCTGATAACAAAGCTCCGGATCGATCTGGAGCTCTGTTATCGGCTGCAGAGGCCTTCAGGAAAGCCTTCCTGGCTGCAGAAGAAGAAGTTCCTGAAGGCCTCTGACAGCGAAAAGGAGGCCAAGGGCGACGCACAAGTGAGGTTAGTCAGTGGATGACATCCCCCGAAAATAAGACCTGGTGCTTTTTTTTTGTGGCAAAAAAATATATAAGACAGGGTCTTATTTTGGGGAGACATGGTATTTGTTGCTGTATTTACATTGTCAGGAAAGGAAAGAGGCCCTTAACTACATTTCTTTGGCAATGATTAGTTGGGAGGCAAGGTATGTTATTTGCTGCCGAGCCTCAGGTAGGACAACTTATTGAACTGGCTTAGTTTCTAATACTTTATTAGATATTCCAGACCCCTTCAATCACATCTGACAGTTTTGCACTCACAACCGATTGTCCTCAGTCTTGCTCTGAATCCTCAGAAATTGTCCATATGATTCTTATAGCAAGAGTGCAAAATAATTGAAGTCAGTGCATAGACTGAGGCCTAATAAGCATTTGATAGGACTCTACTGGGGGCCACATGGTAAGACACCGGGCTTGCACACCAATCAGGTCAGCAGTTCGGTGGCTCAATTCTTGTGAGCGAATAAACTATGTAGGGACAAGAAAGGAGCCTCCCCCAACTGCCTTCCGGCATTCAGAAGTCCTGCGGGTAAAAGTAACACTGCCCCAAAAAATTTCTTTCACAGAGGCAGCCAGCCACCTCGATGATCCCTGGCTAACACGTGCCATATTCTAAATAAATAAATAAATAAATAAATAAAGGGCTCTACTCTTGTTTTCATTGCTTGAATGCATAGCATAATCCAATAAAATGTCTCACAATAGCAACAATCATTCAAAAAACAAAATTACCCCTATGGAAAATTGGATTTAAATTGCTGAAAGATAAAAGACAAACATGACTAGGCCAGAGAGAAGGAAAAAGGAACAGAATGGATCAAACATTTCCATGTTTATTCCAATAGATCAAACTAGATATGTTCAAAAGATTAGAGCTATATAAGATAAGATCACTCATGTACACCGTTATGTTGCATTTTAACTAGAGTTCCAAATGGGAGTTCTAAGTTAGAAAACTCAACATAAAACAGTGTCTGAGCCCAGAACAGCTGTGAGCCATTATAAAGTCAGGTAGAAACTGGTCAGATGCTGCCAAAGGATACAAAGATTCTCATTCAAATATAGATGAAAAATATGTTAACAGCTTTTTGGTCTTCTCATATGTTCAATGCCTTGAAGACTAAAAATTTCTGGATGCTAAATGCCACCCAACAATCTACCAGACCTAGGTTAATTTTCAATTCCTAGCAAAACAAGATTCCAAGCCAGGATAACCCTGGCAACATAAATAAATAAACATTAAGGCCTGTGGACTTCAGCTCCCAGAATTACTGGCTGGGAAATTCTGGGAATTAAAGTCCATGGGTCTTAAAGTTGCCAAGGTTGCCCACCCCTGTTTTAAGCTAAGTTTCTAGGCAATACTTACCACTCCAATGCCTTCAAAGGCAAAAATGGCTGTACCAAAAAAGAGAGGCATTGTTTTCCAGGCAGCAACCATAGGCAGATCGCTAGGATTTGGAATGTCCTATAAGGAAGAAAAGCAGAGGATCTTTAAGGGGTTCCAACGAGAAGCAGTTGCAAATTTGGGAAACTCTCTTATATGGAAGCAAAAAAGAACCCTCCTCACTCAGATTTTCTACACCAGCCTTTTCAATCTTAATACCTTCTTATTTGATAAAATTACCATACCCAGGGCTCATAAAAGCCTTGCTATCTATGGTACTACCTTGTGGGAACTGCAGTCCAAACTTGATAATTTCTTGTTCAGTTGTGTTTGTATCCTGCCCAATTTTACAAAACTCTCTGGACAATTATGTGGATATAACATTTTTTAAATCTAGAAATACAGCAAAACATACATTGTTGAGGAAAAATACAAAATGTATGTAAAGTACTATAAACTGCCCAGAGTCACTTGATAGAGAGATGGCCAGCATATACATTTAATAAATAAAATAAAACATTGCTGAGATGGCAGTGATATCAAAATTGCAAGAATACCTCTTACATGGTAGCCTTACATTGACTAGTTGCTACTATTTAACTTCTTAGGCAACAGTGATGGAAACTCAACTACTTCTATTGTTTCCCTGACTTCTCATTAAGAAAGTGTTGGATTTAAACACGTTAGTATCTATGAACCTCATAGATTGCTGAAAACAAGAGAATACAATGCTCAAGTGGTCTTCCACCAGCTACCAAAACCTTTCTTACTATACTCTTCCCTCATTAAATGAAATGCTATCCCTCAGATGCAAAAGTCTACCATAAGAAATAATTAACTTGTCCCATTTGTATATGAAAAAAATCAATCTCTTTATGGAGTTTTTTTCATTCCACCCTCAAAACAAGCATCTTATTGTTTCATGGGCTGGGCTTGGCTCACTCAATCTCTTCACATATGATATTTGCTCCTTCAATTCTGCCATTCATAACCTTTAAAAAAAAGTATTTCCTCTTTCTTCAATCCTTCCTGACCCAGAACCCTTCACTCATTTGCATGTACCACTTTGTTCACCCAGCAAGATCTCTACTTTGTCCTTTCAAATTGTTTTTCAGGGTAACTTTTCCTCTAAAGTTTTTTGTCATAACCAAATTTCACCCCCGTGACTGTCCAACTAAAATAAACTAAAAATAAAACTTAAAACATGATCAGGCCTTTCCTTTTCCCTAAGTTGACATTTAAATGACAAAGCACAAAGGCACTATATCTGTATTTGAAAATATTTCTTCCACACAATACCACAGACATCCTTAATAAATATATAGCATATTTCATTCACCATGGAATAATAGTAATAATAGTAATAATAGTAATAATAGTAATAATAGTAATAATAGTAATA